GACCCTCAGTCCAAAAACCACGACATGGGGTAAACAAGATATGAGACTAAAATCCTGCAGCCTTAGACAATTTGCATGCGCTGAAGGTGACGTGCAGTTGGGTCAACAGGATTTGATATCTATAGCTGCAGGTAACTGACCTCTGGCTTTAGGGTAAGTCCTCTTTCTGCACGGAAAGAACAACAGGCATATTTTATTTACTTTTTCCCTAAGATGTATGAAGGCATAACAAGCCCGAACCACCAAAGAATAAAAGGAAGAAGCAATCCCACTGCTCACACTGATTCTATGGGTACATGGGCACCCTAGAAATAAAGTAAACCCCCCTAGTTCTCCTAGTAACTCTAAGATTAAAGAGAGACTGACAGGAACCTGGTTTTCATGACAGTATCATCACCTATAAATATTCTCTAGGCGCAAGTTTGAGATCTCATTTTTACACTGAAAATTATACTATAAGCCTACTTTAATTTTTCTTTTCATACCAGCTCTAGAAGAAGCACTTACAGGCTTACGGTCCACTGCAGAGAGCTCTGCCTCTCGCACAGCCTGATATTGGAATATCAGCTTTCTCACAGCTCTATCACAGAAACCCAACCACCATCACGTTGGCAACGGTCAGTGGTTGAAATGAGAGAGGTTTTGCTCTCTTAATGCTCTGTCCTCCTCAAAGTCATGGGAAACATCTTTAGATGTTCAGACACTTCTGCCAACGCGGCAGAACGGCACAGACTGACCCATTTTACGATGGTTTTGTGCTCACCGAGGTGCGTGCTCCCTGGGAATTCCAAGTAGGGGCTTTGTCCGTAGGTGTTGACTGCAGACACTCGGAACTGGTAGTCAGCCTCTTCGGACAGGTTGCTCACGGTGAACTCTGGGACAGGGACATGAGACTCATGGCACCTCACCCAGGTGAAGCCAGTTAGTTTCTTGCGTTCCACAACGTAGCCATCGATTGGAATGGGGCGGTCCGTCTTCGGAGGGGACCATGCTAGCGTCACTGAGGTTTCTGTTTTATTTTTCACCACAGGGTCAGCTGGGGGTTGTGTGGGAGGTTTTTTGGGAGCTGCACAAGGGAAAAAAAAAAAAAAAAAGTGGAGCAAGAAGTTTATGTCAGAGTGGAAAAAACATTGTGCTGCACTGAAAAATACTAGAGTTTATGCTGGCCTAAAGGCTACTCTAGCTTAATAATCCTCTGTAAAACATTGATGTGAGGTGGAAAAGCAAGAGAATGGATGAAAAATGGAATGAATGAAAGAAAGATGATGCTTTTGGGCTGCATTACACAAAGATGTACAAGACTCCTGTCTCCACAGCTAAACCTATGCGATTTCTACACAATATTACAATTGTCTGCACAGTCTACAATGAACAATTCATAGGCTTAAGATTTCAGTGCTAGATACAGACCCACACCACTCCCTGCACAGCTCCTGGGTAAAGCAGACTGACACTCAGCCTGTTATTTTCACTCAGAAGATGGGTAAAACCACCATCAGAGGTTGTTCAAAATTCTGTGCACCGAATTCCGGTTCCAATTCCCTGGTGTGAATCCAAGCTACGAAAATAAAAGGCATCAATGGGATGAGTCTGGCGAGGGGGCAGAACTTTGCCCTTCATCCACCTGGTTACTAGACATCCTTGTGCAGGGACAGTTGCACTAACATTGTAAGTGTGCTATTATTTATCTTCTGTCAGATTTTCAACCATTCGTGTCCCCACAGTCAGGATCGAGAGAACCAACTCGTGGCAATGTCCCACTGCATCAAGGAACAACGTGGTGACATTTTGCAATGCTTTACACACAAAGTGTGGCATCCTGCACAGCCATGTGAATCCCCTCCATAAAAAGCAGCCTGTGCCAGCAGTCTATGCTCTCCATTTCTTCTCAAGAACCTGTTCCAACCATACATTTGAACATTTCTGCCCAGATCTTCAATGGGTTTCAACAAAGAGCAGCTCAACACTGTACAACTGGGACATTTCAGAGATGATAGATATGAATAAACAGTGCATGGGCTTTAGGGTTATGGAGATCTGGGTTGTTTGTTACACAGGCTTGGCTGTTCTCTGCAGCCACTTTCATCTGGGCATCTGTCCTCCGTCCTGCGTTGGAATTTTGTGCTGTCTCCTCTCAGAGACCCTTTTGTAACTTTGTCTCCCAAGAGTGATAGCTATCATTGCGGATCTCTTTTAGCAATTTATGCAGAGCCAGGAATTAAATTCAAAAGGAAATGATAAAGAAATGTTACCACCATGAGACCCTACCTTCAATGAGATGCGGTTATTTTACGGTACCTGAGGTCACAAATGTATCCTTGCAGGTATTTGCATAATGAAGATTTACGTTGACCCTCTCATTCCTCTTGAAACCTTTAGAGAAGGCTGAAATCCCAGAGTTATTCACTATGTTCTGCCACTGACACGGTCAAGAGGCTAGGAATTACCTGATATGCTCGAATTACACATCTGCTGACATGATAAAAGATTCATTTCATTTAATTCTGGCTATCTGAAAGTTAGGTGTCTGGTTTAAGTCAGTCATCCAGACTCCAGCTGCGATCCCATGGAGCACACTCAGGAGCAATTCATCCCAGCTTAAAAGAGGTGGGTGAGACATCTAAAATGAATCACACTTTACAGATACTCAAGTATTCATGACTGTCGAGGGAGCCTGTACGATGAGCCTAGACTAAAATTTGAGCTCTGAGACAACTGAGCATCTCTCTGCCTCAGTTTACCCATCTGTAAAATGGGCATAGTAACAATGTAAGCTATTGCACAAATGATATATAAACATTGCTTGCCTGGTAAAAGCTATTAAAACAGTCAACACTGATCTCGTCCAGCTAATTGAAAACGATGCAAACATAGCACACAGGATTCTTCAAGCAGCTAATCAGATAAGCACCAAGTGTAAGAATAGGAAATCTCAGTGTGATACAATTTTTCTCCATTACATAAATAGACACAGAAGTGTTTTGGGGTGTACAGTTGCCAGCCTGGCAGTTACTGCTGGTCAGAGCTAGATGCCAAAGGTCCCATCAAGTGCAGCATGAAGCCAAATGCTAGATGCTGGAATCAGATCTCCTGACCTTACCACCAGAAGTCGTAATGGAATATTTTCTTTGGAGATACCTGTTTGTGGGAAGGCAGCTGCTTACCTGGTTCTATTCCACGAACCAACATTGGCTTCAGAACATAAACAGCAGAGTCCAAAACCTAAGTGAACTTTGCCGTTCCCATTGAATAGGTGCTTGGTTGGATGTTAAAGACTGTCACAATGCTAAGTGCGACACTTTTACCCCATTTTCAACTCATTTTAGCTCAATAGCATCAGAATGCCCCAACCAAGATTAGATAACACAGCGGTTATAAACCTTTATTTAAGGATTTCTTTTTACTACTCAGTAATTGCAATTAGGAGGTGATGGTGGGAGGAAAGAAATATTGTTCTTCCCAAATAGTGACAAGAGTTGGTGACTTGACCACCTGCAAGCTGGAACTGCAGCAGAGCCAGAAGCCACGTGCAGTTCTCTGCCTTAGAAGAAGCAGCTCTTGCCTAGGAAATGCAACACCATCAAAATAAAGCATCATAAAATTAGGTAGCTCCACCAAAGTTTCATTTCAGGTCTGATCTCTAAAATGTGCCTGCTCCTACTGCTCTGTCAACAGAAACCCTTGCTTGGATCAGATGAGCCAGCTGAAGGAATTCTCCAGCCTGCACATTGGATCAGTTTCCCCAGGCAAAGCTAATCAAGAGTAAGGTCTCTTCTTTCAGCATAGCTACCATCAATTCACAGGGTCTTCCCAACTTTGTCATGTCAAAGAGAGGAGGAGAGAGGACATGGCTTTGTTGCTCTCCACAAAAGGAAGGAAACTATATTTTCAGGAGGAAGCATTTCCTCTTTTTCTTGCCTTTTTTTTTTTTTTTAATATGTTTTACTTCAATGCAAACAACTTAAGAAGTAAAAATCAAAATAAGATGTTTCAAGTTTGGTGAACGCTTGACTGCCCCTGCAATGCTTCATATGCGTGTGCCTAGATGTTCCTTCACCGATGTTTTTGCTTACTAGAATGGAAATGCTCTGCCAAAAATGTTCAGGGTGTCTATCTGCTTCCCCATCACAGCCAGCATACCCCCAGTCTACCTTCATGACTCTGTGGACTCAAGACCTAGGGAAGGAACTGAATGCTCGCTGACTCTCCCCTCCAAATACCCAGCAAAGAGAGAAAGGGAGAGATAAGTGGCCCCTATTTGCTAGAAGAGTTATTATCCCCATAGCAAGAATTGATAAACGCCCCTCAAAGAAACTAACGATTTTGGAAAATGGAGGTCAACACGTAGACGGAGCACCCGCAGCACTCTGTGCACGATGAAGGTGACTGCAACGTATGCAATTTATATGATGTTTTCTAAGCACCTCCTGATGGGGAGAACACACATGTCCCCATGTTGTACTCAGTTACCAGTTTACATTCACTGCAGCACGAAATGAGAATGGCACAGAGAAGACACCCCTGTGCCATGCTCTTTCCCCGGGACTCTTCTTCTCTCTGTTTCGACCTCTCCGTGACATTTCATAAGACTAGCATTCAGGCTGTCAGCTTTTGTGGCAGACATCAAACCTTCTGCTGTCTTTGGACAACAAACCTACCATGGTAGCACCTAAAACCACAGTGCCAACATGGGAGTACCTGCCTACTAGGGAAGACCCAACACCAATGCCGAATAAAAGTGAAGCTTACTGGTCACAGTGAACTGGGTAGAACTTCTGCTTTCATCAGCCAGGAAGGCAATCTCGCCAGCATCTTCCATCTTACACTCTCGGATGATCATGGTGTGCTGCTTGCCGGAGCATGTGATGGAGATTCGATCACTGGGTTTCACTTCTTCTTTATTTTTCAGCCATCGGACATTCTGGCATTCATTTTCCAGCTCCACGCAGAAGATGGCTGTGTCATTTATGAAGACTGCAGTCTTTCGTGGAAGTTTTTTAATGATGTTCCCTTTAAATAAGAAATTAATTTTGATCAGCAAACAGCAGATAATAAAGTCTCTGGCAACACTGGGCCATCCAGACTACAACAGGACCAGCCAACAGCTCTTGCTTAATCAAAACATTGTAGATGCTATTCATTCATCCCTGAATGAATTCCTAGGCTCTGAATTCTACAAAACAGATAATCCCAAGGACTCATTTTGGTCATTAAAGAGAGAAAAACAATCTCGTTTGGCTACAGTTGTTCATGTTTTTAGTCTAACAACAGAGTCTGCTGTCGAGAAACACAAGGTGCGTGGCCTTGCCAAGAATAGATTTGACAGTGATGTGACTTTCATGGACCACATGCACTGGGAATTCAAATTAAAACTTTGCTAAAGCAGGTCAGTCTTAAACCAGCCTTTGGGGATTTTGCCTCCATCAGATGAGCAGTAAGTTACATAAACAAGAGGGCAAACACACCAGTCACCTGAATTAATAGAAAATACACTGAAAATCCCTGATTTCTTTTCCAAGTCAACCCAGAAATTCACATGCAATAAGCTTCACTAAGTTATGGTCTTTCCAAGTGGCTAAACTGATTATGGCTTATTAAAATAACCTCAAAATTACAAGATGTGACTGTTCACAGGAAAGCTTGAACAAAGCATCAGGACACCACCCCTGTTGACAGTTGGCTCAAGCCCTGAAACAGCCCCTGCAAGGCAAAAGTGCCTTCATCCAGGCAAAGCACCTAGAGCTATTTAAGGAGAAGCAATATTGAACTCCTTCATGAAACAACAGATCAGGCACATGTTTCATCAGTGGGATTCAAGACCCTGATTCTCTGCTCATCCTCGCCGAAGCTTGGCAGCGTATCTGCTCCTTGTTGCCTTCAGCAGTGTCCCCATCCCTGCAGCCCTTTGCATCCTGTCAAGCTCTCGTGTTCTCCCAACCACATCCTGCTCTCTCGAATCTTCTCCCTCCAGGGTAGCCACAGGGTTCCCCTAGGAAGGCTTTGCCTCCTTTTCCTCCTGAGAGCTCCTCCTGGTTCAGTCACTCTCTTTTTTAATGGAACATGTCGTAGTACCACAGCACAAACAAGTATAACAAATACCAGTGGTCCTACTGGGGCCAAACACAGGCGGTTTGGCTGGTCTAGACCTAACAGAAGGTGCAACAAAAGGATGTCTATCTGAACTCTCCCATGTTTCTGGACTGTATTTCCCCTTCTGCCTCCAGCCATGTGGACTCTTATCTTTTTTCTAGTGATGCAAAAAGGAGTTTGCACAAGGATGCACAGCATCTAACTGTCTTGCACCAATTTATGTAGCGGAGAATTTCTTCTGGTTTCACTGGGACTAAAGTCAGGCTTCAAATGAGACAGGACAAGTGCAATCCTGTTGCTATTACAGGTTTTCAATTCACGCTACAGGAGACATCAATGGTACCAGCGTAAGCACCATCAAAACAAAATTATAGGTCCTGGAGTTGCATGGGTAGATACTTGTTCATCCAACAAGTATCTTGGAGTTCAGAACTCTTGGAGTTGAGAACCAATGGCCCCTTCTGCAGGCATGCCTATGTCTCTGATGTGCCTGTCTACTGGCTGTGAAACACCTACACCGTACCAGGCTCTACATCTCCATGCACTTTGGTCCTAAACCACTTGACTCAGAAGACTTAGATGTGAATCTATATCCATGTTTGGCCACTGTCTAATCAGCTTTCCAAACTCCAGAGAACAGCTCCGGATGTCAGAGATCTGGAGCGTGGATCTGGGTCTGAAACCATACGGGTGCTGACCACAGCCTGCACCACACATCGGACCATAAACCACAGCAGCTAAGCCAGCTTCCCAGTGCGGTCAGCACCACTCTCAGACAAGATTCACCGTTGGACACCAGACAAGACCTGTGTGAGACAGTGCCAGGGGACATGTCTGATGCTTGAGATCATGTTAAGGAAAGTCTACAATGCTAGACAACAGCTCAAGGACTTTGCCTTCTAGAAAGCCTCTTTGAGCACAGGGCCTCACCAGGTGACATATCTTGTGCAGCAACACAATCTGCCCCCGCTTTGTGACCCTGTGTCCCAGATACACCCTGGCAGAAGACCCAGGGACCCACTGACCCACCACACGTGGCTCTCCTCTCACACCATGGGTGAGTCTGCTGTTCTTCACTGCACTCATGCACGGGGTAGATGCCATTCACAAGGTCAAGTGTGGGGCCCCATGCATGAATCTCACACTCAGTAGGTGAGACTTGAGCAGATCTGAAATAGCAAGACTCTTTCTTACCTTGGACAGATAACTCTGCGATGGTCCTGCTCCCTTCTTTCATCTCACAGATGTAGACAGCATCATCATCTGTAGTGACGTTCTGGACAGTGAGACGGCGATACGTGCCCTCCTCTTCGATGTTGTATTTCTTGCTCTGCCTGAGTTTGGTTTCCTCCTTGAACCAAGCTGTCTCCGTACTAGGAACGGGCACTTCGCATTGGAAGGTGGCAGATTCCTTCTCCCTCACTTCAAGATCCTTCAGTTTTTCCTTGAAAGGTATTGAAGGTTCTTAAGAGGATAAAAACGGAAAGGAGAAACAAGAGTTGGCAATGGTCTGGGGTAAGAGGTGTGCAAATAAATAAGTCAATAGAAAAAATATTAAATGTTAACACCCTTTATTAATGATATCGATTTGTCCTGAGCTGCTGTCCAAATCCATAAGCAAGCCCTACTGCAGCAGGTGTTCTGCTCTCCTGTAAAAAAGGTCTTAGATCCCAGCAGAAGTACATTTCAGGACTTAGAATCCCAGAATCATTTAGGTTGGAAACGACCCTTAAGATAGTTGAGTCCAACCATGGACTCAGTTTGTTTCTACACTTATTTAAAACGAAGCAGTACCAGTCTGAACTGCAGCACCTGCCCCACAACACCACACAGAGGAGTTTGCTCTAATCCAAAGTAACGTGAACAAGGTGGTGAAGCATCAGGTTAACGAATTCTGCTCTTGTGGCCTACTTGTCCTCTAGCATGAAGATCTCTGTATTACACCCTGCCATTTAGTGATGCCAACAAGACAAAGGGCAGGGACCACCCAGCCTGACTCCATACATAGCAGAAGTCACTTCGCATCAGAGTAAAAGCCCTTAAAAGTAAGGATGCTACAGGTGGGTAAATAGGAAACAAGCTGGTCTTAGGGAAAGGGCACAGGGCAGCAGTTCTAGGCGAGCATGAGCAGCTGAGCTGGTCAGCTGGTGCAGGAATTGATGTTTTAGGGATCTTTCAGCTCAGTGGAGGGATCCAAAAGGGCATAGAAAGATGAGAGGCAGCTGCACACACAAGGTCAGACGTGGTGGAAAGCACAGAAGTAACTCTGTGGTTTATAGGCTGCCCAGGGAGGTGGTTGAGTCCCCATCCCTGGATGTGTTTAAGAATAGGGTGGATGATCTACTTAATGATATGGTTTAATGGGGATTAGGGACGGTTGGACTCGATGATCTCTAAGGTCTTTTCCAACCTAGAAATCTATGAATCTATGAACTCATGGAGGAGTTTTCTGGTCTCCCCACAAGTACCAAAGCCTCTGTAACAGTTTTTGTCAATGACAACAAAAGAACTAGAGAAAGAGCCCACGTCTCCCAACTGCCTCTGCTCTCCTCCAGCAGTGGGGCTGCAGTGCTCCAGCTTAGGGAGAAGCCAGAGTGTAGATCAAATGCGCAAAACAGCTGCACGGCAGTGAGAGAAGATATTTTGTGAACAGAACAATGTTTAATTCCGGTGACAGCTGCGCTGTGAAATCATCCTAATACCCCAGCACTAAACTGGAGAAAGAGGAGTTGGACTGAAGAGGAAAGCCAATGGTCACAGCCACGGGACTGGTGCCACAGTCATAGAATCATAGAATGGTTTGGGTTGGAAGGGACCTTAAGGATCACCTACTTCCAACCCCCCTGCCATGGCAGGGACACCTTCCACTAGATCAAGGTTGCTCAAAGCCTTATCCAACCTGGCCTTGAACACTTTGTCTCACCCACCGTTGCGCGGGGCAACCAGTCATGTCACAGTGTTGGATTAGCCTGTGCTGATGCATCACCACTCATGCTTTGCGAGAGATTACGTCTTGACATATACCTTCATCTTCTAATAACTACTGCACCGGCTCCCAGCCTTTATTTGTGACTCTCCCTGACGTGCTGATGCATCACCACTCATGCTTCGTGAGAGATTACGTCTTGACATGTACCTTCATCTTCTAATAACTACTGTACTGGCTCCCAGCCTTTATTTGTGACTCTCCCTGACCACATACAGACTCTCAGGTTGGTAACTTCATGTGATCGCTACCAGTCAGTAATGTCAAGTGCTAGTCCAAGAGTCAAACAGGAGCAGACTTGTCTTTGATTTGTAAGCCATGGTGGCACAATGCTCTATAGGCTGGAGAAACACAATCCTGTTCAGAGGCACAATGCTCTATAGGCTGGAGAAACACAAATCAAGGCCCTCAAACATCCCAGATCAAAGCTTTGATGTCCAGGAGCCTTCATTTTGTAAAATTCAGATCTGGTAGCTCAGGGTCTAACTGAGTCCCTCACCTGCCTGCTCCTACCCCACCATTAGGACAGGAGCTGCTATGGGAGCAGTGCTGTCTTTGATCAGGTTTGCCCTTTTCTGAACTCAAGCCCTAGAAACTCATGAATTCAGTTTTGCAGGTCTCTCATTCCACCTCTGCCACAGCCACAGTTGCAGCTGTCACAAACACTTCCAATCATTTCCAGCCTAGCACAGCCTGGATGGAGATACCAGATCCTAATGGCTTGACAGGACACCTGGAGGGAGTGATGCTGTCTACTACCTTGGTCATTATCCTGAGATTAAAACCTGACCAGGAACCCATACAATAACCTCTAGGGACAGGAAGATGACTTTAGCTCACCACGTTGACTTGACTGTTTCCTTAAAAAATGTTTTGCCTCAATGCATCTCAGTTGAAGGCAAGTCAAAGTCTTGTCTTGAAAAGCCTTCAGCTGTGGTTACACAGATCTGCTCTGCCCACGCTCCACATGGTTTTTTCTTTAACCAACAGGCAACTCAGAATCCTGCCCTGCAATCCTCTACATCACCTCTGGAAGCATCCCATGCAGTCAAGGGGTTTGAAGACATTGTAATTCTCACATCACGGGAAAAAGCAAGAGGATGAGATCAAGAAACCATTAACCAGAAGGATGCCAGGCTCCGGATACGGTGCTGCTGTGTGAGATAGGAGGGAGTCTGGATCCGACACTGAGAACACACAGACATGCCCAAGGGCCAGAAGGAAATACGAGCTGCACCTGGGAAGCACACCAGTGTATTCCCATACTTGGAGCAACTGGCCATATCATTAACCCCTCTCCCTTTACAGGCAGTAAGCAGTATCTAAGGTTAAAACAACAACACAAAAAAAAAAAAAAAAAGCTGCTCTAGTGAAAAGCTTTTAAATATACAAATGCAGAAGAGCTGGTTGATTCTTTTGTATGTGTTGCAGTAACAGCTCTGCTTTTCCAGCCAGGGAAAGTAAGTGCAAGGCTCTCTTCAACAGGTTGGGGTCACAGATATCCTCTGAAAACAACTTTGTTTTCGTCCTACTGACATGTGCGCACACTTCCCATCTCACTCTGAATGGGGCTTCAGAGAGCCAGCAGCTGATAAACCGAATCAAAGCCTGGGATTCACCCAGCCCACTGCTTTTTTTTTTGCTTTGGAGATGTGAGAGAGGCTCGAAAACCCACCAGCCCCATCTTCCTGAATGTATCTCCACGGTCTTTACATCATGTAGCATGTACCTGGTCAGAGAAAGTGAGTTAATTTTGCTCAGGGGACTACAGAAGGACCACAGGTCTCTTTAGGATAGGCATCTCCAACAACCCGTCTAACCATCTGAGAGATGCTTGGAGAGGTGGCCAGGAGGGAACAGTGTCCCAGCCAATCAACTGGCCACACAGATCCCAAGGAAAGATCCGTGAAATGCGAGTGACTCATGTTCTTTGTTAATAGGCTAATCACCACAGTCTGAGTATGTAACCATAAAATATTTACACGAAGAAGACTTATTCTGAGGCAGGAAGCACTAAACTTTACAGCTGCCTTGTGGTGGACTTTCCACTTAACTGGTTAAATGTGAAAACAAATAAATCCACTTATTCTCCTATTGGCCAGCGTGGTGAGTTGGGCGGAGACCCCCCTTACTCTCCTTCACCCCACATTGTCCTGCAGCCTGTCAGATTACAACCCTTCCATTGCAAACTCTCCAACACGGGCACCACCTCTCACCTGTTTGTACAGCACCTGGCACAAATCCGAAATATTCTGTGTTGTAACTGCTGTAGGCACATCGGGAAGAGCTGCTGCAGATAATTGTGTCGTATTCGGTCTGACGGGCTCCACAAATATTGGCTGTTCATTTCTAGATGCCTGTTTGTCATGCACTGCCCTTTGACAGAGTGAGAAGCCCAGAAAGCCAACCGTGTCCTGGGCTGCATCCAAAGCAGCGTGGGCAGCAGGGAGAGGGAGGGGATTCTGCTCCTGTGCTCTGCTCTTGTGAGACCCCACCTGGAATGCTGCGTTCAGCTCTGGAGTCCCCAGCACAAGAAGGACATGGAACTGTTGGAGCAGGTCCAGAGGAGGGCCACAAAGATGATCCAAGGGCTGGAACACCTCTGCTCTGGAGACAGGCTGAGAGAGTTGGGGCTGTTCAGCCTGGAGAAGAGAAGGCTCCGAGGTGATCTTATAGCAGCTTTCCAGTACTTAAAGGGTCTACAGGAAAGCTGGAGAGGGACTTTTTACAAGGGCGTGTAGTGATAGGACAAGGGGCAATGGCTTTAAACTGAAAGAGGGCAGATTTAGATTAGATTTAAGGAAGAAATTTTTCCCTCTGAGGGTGGTGAGGCACTGGAACAGGTTGTCCAGAGAAGTTGTGGCTGCCCCATCCCTGGAAGTGTTCAAGGCCAGGTTGGATGAGGCTTTGGGCAACCTGGTGTAGTGGAGGGTGTCTCTGCCCATGGCAGGGGGGTTGGAACTGGATGGTCTTTGAGGTCCCTTCCAACCCAAACCCTTCTATGATTCTATGAAAGTAATTCTCAATGTAAGCTCGTGTTAAGCATAACTCTAATACAGAAGATAAAGCCATTTATCTATCAACTGTTTTCCTTATTATCCAAAATGTTCATAATATCTGAAAATGTCCTTCTAAGGTAAGCAAAAAGTATGTTCAGTTGAGGTTACATGTGACATAATTCTCCCAGGGTCCCTCTGCTTCAGATAAGAAGTGCCACCAACTCCCATCTCTAGTTCCTATAAATACCAGAACTGATTAAAAATTATTCAACATTGAGGAAGAAAGGTGATTTCTGATCTTTTACAGCTTTTCACAGCAAAACAGTGATTTTGCTCAAAACTCTCAATTATTTAGATCTCCTTCGAGAAAATCTAGGTGGCTTGTGTCAGAATGACTAGAGTAGAAACATGATCTGCTCTGGTGTTTTTTGAAAGCCATGGTTTGATGATTTCCTGACCACATCCTTTCCTAAGGATGCTTTTCCAGCTGGGCTGTGTTTTCCACAAAATAAAGCACTTTCAGCTCTGCTCAAGTCACCAGAGCTCCACCTACACGTGAGTCCCAGACACCACAGAAGAGACAACTTAGATGCAGCTGACACAGGCTGCAGTGGGGGAGCGGAAGCAAGAGGCATGGGAACTGTCCATCTTGAAGCTGGAAGAGCAGTTCAAGTGCCCTGAGAGGTAATTTAAATTCATCTTTAGTATCAGCATGATTTTTATTCTTTTTTAAAAAAATTTTTTTTGACTGTACAATTTTTTTTCTATCACTCTGCTTTTAGCCAGAGCAGAAATACCCGTTAAGGAATATAATGAAGACAATAATATTTCTAAAGGAGGAGAAATAAGAGATCTACAAAGACCTGTCTGTTGGGAAAAACATGAGACAGACACAGCAAAACCCCGAGGGAGCACGGAGCAAGAGCAGCTCATGGAGTCAGCAAAAAAGCAAGAGCTTAGATGAGACATGAATTTGGCTGCTTGTCTTGAGAACATATTTCTCCAGAGTGTCATAGGCTTTTTGTTTGGTCCATACCAACCAAACTAGCAATGAGATGATGTTATTTTTTAAAAGCAGGTCCTGCTAACACATATTTTGCTAAGAATAGGTGCAGCCTGCAAAGAAGCCAATGTTTTCTTAACCTTCTCAAGGCATATCTGTCTGCTTGACCTGATCTTCTCGCTTGCCTACATTTCCTCTTGCCTACCCCTGGCCTTCTCACGGGCTCTCCATTTATTATTCCAGAGGCAAGTTTTCCCTCTACCTAACAAAAATGATCCAGAGAGAGTAAGAATATGGAGAATCTTTCCACAGGGAGCTACAAGAAAGCTGGAGAGGGACGTTTTACAAGGGCATGTAGTGATAGGACAAGGAGCAATGGCTTTAAACTGAAAGAGGGGAGATTTCCATTAGATCCAAGGAAGAAATTCTTCCCTCTGAGGGTGGTGAGGCTCTGGAACAGGTTTCCCAGAGAAGCTGTGGCTGCCCCATCCCTGGAAGTGTTCAAGGCCAGGTTGGATGAGGCTTTGAGCAACCTGATCTAGTGGAAGGTGTCTCTGCCCATGGCAGGGGGGTTGGAACTAGATGACTTTTAAGGTCCTTTCTAACCCAAACCATTCTATGATCCTATGATCTAAAGGCACATGGACAAGCTTCCACCACCTTGCACCTTTTGTCTCCTTCCTAGTTGCTATGCTTTCCAACTTTCCTTTCTACCTCCACATTTCTCAAGTTCTCTTTCAGATCTCAAAGGTGACTACAATGACAGCAGTCATCCAGAACCACTTCAGGTCAGAGAGGAATAAAGTGGCCTCAGCACCAGCCTGTTTTTCCCATCTCTACCCCATTTGGCTTGCAACCTTTAACCTTTTCATACAGTATCTGATTACTGTATTCAGGGGCTCAGATGAACATTGCTTGGCCCAGGCCCAAGGACGGAGACCTGTACACTCTTCATACACTGTTCTCACTAACTTCACACATGGCCTCAGGACTTCTCCAAAACCCTCCAAGACATCTGAGTCAATTATTCGTGTTCCTCCCATCCTCTCTGCTCTTTGGTTTGGCAAAAATCATAAACTCATAGAATCATTTGGGTTGGAAAATGCCCTTAAGATCATCGAGTCCAACCGTTAACCTAACACTGCCAAGTCCACCACTAAACCATGTCCACTAAGTGACACATCTACATGTCTTTTAAATACCGCCAGGAATGGTGACTCATCCGCTTCCCTGGGCAGCCTCTTCCAATGCCTGACAACCCTTTCGGTGAAGAAATTTTTCCTAATATCCAATCTAAACCTCCCCTAGTGTAAAGGTTTACTCTTGGGCAGTATATCCTAACTTCTTTTGCATCTCACGTTTCAGTGTATGGCTTGTGGTTTTATCCCTGCTCTAGCCACCAGCATCCAGCACGTTGCTGAATCAGAGTAATCAGCTCTTGGTTTTCCTTAATTGTGAGAATGATACTCTGCCCTGTAGCTTCTCTTTCGAGATTTACATCTGACTCACCACATCTGATTTAGGAACAGCTCAAAAATCTCTTTTATTCAGCTCAGTGATCTTCAGGGCGTGGGTTCAGCAAATGCTAACAAATGTGTTGTGTCTCTGGGTCTAGGATCTAGATTGGCAGAATATAGGAGCCAAGCTAGAGGACAAGTTTGACCCGTGCCCAGACCTATGCCCTGAGAGACTGCTAAAAGCCACTTTACAGACAGGATCCTGGGTTAGATAGTGGTTTTTTTATTATTACCTTTAAAAGACCCAGAAATATTCTCACTCAGATTCTTGCATTGAAATTATGTGCATCAAAATGCCAGAGTATATTTAAACTCAACGAAGTTTCTCTTTCCTGGTACCTATGTGTGTAGACACACACTGTAGCTGCAGTATCACAGGCTCTATAAATATGCTGTTACCTGCAGAAAGACCAACACAGCAGCCTGGTGCCTACCAAGGGTGGCTGCTTGGAGAATTTAGCTGCTTCTGCATGACTGAGCAAGAAGAAGGTTGTGTGGCAAGATGACCTGCCGCCCTAAACCCAATGACAGATGGGCTAATGGCATCACCAATGGCATAAACAGCAGAATTAAAAGCTCCCTTCATTGCTGCATCATTCTGAGCTGTCTCTGGAGGCCTAAGAAGGACTTCTGCTGACACAGAGGAGAGTCATTATTCAGGGCCTAATTATAACCAACACATGTCGATTTTCCATGGCAGCCTTGGCCTGGTCAGAAAGCCCAACATGGTATAGTATAACAAAGAAACAGACCATAAACATTCCCACTTAAACCCTCTGACTCACAGTTGTCTCTTGACAATGGACATTGACAAATAACTTTTTCCCATGGTGCTTGCTCCCAGACCTGCTGCTTCGCATGCTTTTCCCATCTCCTTTGGAACAGGTTGCTCTCATTTGGAATAATCAAATAAGCATGGGCAGAGGGAAGGATATTTGTCTTTGCAAGACAGGTGTTGGGCAAGTGATGGAGCTTGAGCCATCATCAAAGCGAGCACCCACCCAAGGGCCAGGCTCTGTCTTCAGTTCTGAGTCCCGGCTCATGAGGTAATCACAGCTTTATGGAAGAGGACGAATGCCCTTCCCAACACCACTCAGCACCTCCAAGGGATGGCAACGAGTTGGACAAGTGCCAGCAGGTTCCACAGATCAGGCGTCACCGATGGACGCGGAGACTGAGTCACTGACGGGAAAGATGGTGAATGTGAAAGGAGAGGTCCAGAAAAGGAAAACCAGAAAACCAAATAAAAGCTGAGAGTCTTAAAGATGAGTATGAAACACAGATCATTCCTACTCATTTGAACTTCTAATCTATTTTGCTGCCAGTCAAAAAAACCTATTTTGCTACTCAAGTGGCAAAGCCTTTTACATCTGAGAGTTAATTTACAGGTGCTACCTCGGTTGCCAACTGCCTGCTGTAACCTTGCCAAACGGGAGAGCAGCTTGAAAATTTAGAGCTTCCTTTGTGAAAATACATGTGTCACATTTTTTGTCACCGCTCTGAAGAGCTTGATCCGACCTCCACCAGCATTGAGGGACCTCTGAAGGTGAGTCCATCACCCCCAGCCACAGTAAACAGAGGCACCCTGGACCTGGTAGAGTACTGGGAGCATACAAGGGCTATAGGGCTACCCAGCAACACAAGCTGGGAAAAGGCTGAAGAGGCCTGGCAAGAAAAAGGCTGCTGGTGGGTCACTCTGTACAGAAGAACCAAGATGGACTGTGAATAGAGTTGGAGTAGGTCCCCCAAGACATCAAAGGCAGCCTGAAACACTCATCTTGCAGGGAGGAGTTTCCTCTGCTTCCACTTAAATGGCATGTGTCTGCCAGTCTGACTAAACCTACAGTGAAGATAAAGAAGGGTAAGATGGGACTTTAGCAGGCCCTGATGCAGAGGATGGTAATGGATCTCTTAGATTACCATAAAACCAGGACAGATGGGATCTTTAGTGATCTGGTTTATCCCAGCTGCCCCACAACCAGCCAGTTCTACATCATCCATCCCTGACTGAGACCTGTTTGTTGCCCTTCCTAAAACCCCACAGTGATTGGACTCTCTCCTCAAGTCATCCATTCCAGTGCTCAACCCCCTTTACAGCTGGAGGGCTTTCATTCATGTCTAACCCACACTCCTTTGCAGCAGTTTGGTGGCAGAAGTTTTGTTCACTCTCCCACAGCAATTTGGAAGTGCATTGCCTGTCTCCTTGCAGGCGTGCCCACCCCGGTGAGAAAGATAAGCACCCACCTTTGACGGTGACGAGCACAGAGCTGTACGTCTGGCCTGCCAGGTTGGAGGCCGTGCAGGTGTACAGCCCGTTGTCTACCTGCTTGCAGAAGAGGATCTTCAGCACAAAGTTCTCCTGATCGTCCTCATAGATGACATGCCGCCGCCCTTCCAAAATGACCTCGTTGTCCTTCTTCCACACAATCTCCGGCTTGGGCTCGCCCGTCACGTAGCAGCTCAGCTTGGCGTGCTTTCCCTCCGTCACGCTGCACGTGCGTGTCAGCGTCCCAAAAGTTGCGTTGCGAGCCCCTTTGGTGGTAAGTCCAGCCGCTCTCTCATAATCCCGAGAGAGGCTACAACCCTTCTGCTGTGGAGTAAGACTGGGCAGATGTTGAATCAAGAGTCCCATGGGAGATGTCCATCTTCCTGATCTCCTCCCGCCTCTTTTGCAAGTGAGACAACAAGGACACCGTCTTGCCGCAGCTGGTATCAAAGTGGCTGCTGCTGCCCGGGTTGGAAGAGCCCTGCGTTTCCACCACCAGCGCGGCCGAAGCGCTGGCAGAGCCAATGGGATTCTCTGCCCGGCAGGTGTAGGTGCCACTGTCCCCCAGCCTGGCACACTGGATAGTGAGAGCGTTTGACTCCCCGGCAGACTCAATCTGGAAGCGGCCGGCATCAGCCCGGTTCCGCAGGTGTCTCCCATCCTTCTCCCAGTTCACCGAGAGGGGAGGGCTGCCCTGAACTTTGCATTTGAACATGGCATCTTCCCCCAAAGTTACTTTAATGGAGGAGGGTTTCTGGATGAAGTACGGGGCTGACTCCGTTACTGTGGTCTCCTCTCCAACTTTGATGCTGACAGCTGCAAAGGCTTCCCCGATGGTGTTCTTGGCCCGGCAGATGTATTGGCCACTGTCCTCCAGGCTCAGATCGTAGATTGTTAGTCTATAGAGATCCCCATCTTCTGTGGTTTTAAACCTTCCCCCAGACTGAACTGGAAGTTTATCTTTTTCCCAGCTTACAACTGGGATGGGGTTTCCAATGATCTGGCAGCTCAAGGTGGCATCCTTCCCCACAGACACCATGAACGCCTTAGGCCGGGTCAAGAACCGTGGGACTCCGCTGAACGAGCTGTAATCCATCTTGGTTTCCTAAAGGGTGAGGAAAAAAAAAACACAAACATGTCAAGAGAGAGCAAATGAGATGGTGCAGGCAAAGAATCGCTGCACTTCTGTGGTATCAAGATGTTTGTCACCCAGAACAGTCTAGTTGGGGCACGTTTTCATTGTCCTTCTCATTATGGGTGAGAAGGTCTTGCAGATATCTTAGATTTGAGCTCAGCAATGTGAAACTGCTGCCAGAGAAGGTAGCTCACCTCCCCAGAGGAGTCACTGGGTAAGACACGAGTCTTTGGGTCAGTTCATAGAGAACGAACACGATGGTCCCTTGCAGCTTTGGCACTGGGAAAGTGATCTGCACTAATGCTACATAACATATGGGCTGGTTCTGCAGCCACAGAGAAACAAATGGACAGCAAATTCTGAGAGATGTGTCTGCCCATCAAGCCACCTTCTCTCTCATGCTCATCTCTTCTTCCTTTTCATCTCTTTTTCTGTCTGTGCTTTTTTCAATTTTTCTTTCTCCTTGCCTTTTTTCCTTTTCTTTCTTTTTTTTTTTTTAAATTCTGTTTATACAACGTGCTCCATCTCTCCCGTTGCCGTCTGGTCATTACCCACCCCTCGGCCTTGCTCTCTGAATCATGTTCATACAGACCTTACAGTAAACCCCTTTCCTGCCAGAGCCAGACTTTGGGAGGACACACAGATATGTCTGACATACTATTGATGATATTTCTCTTTATTCCCAGCTTCCATTCAACACAATCACCAAGATACAGCTACTTTGGCGGCGATGGTAGCCAGTGGGTATCTATGGCTTATCTACAGCATCATCCAGATGTGGCAGGGCCAGACACAGCTGCAGCAGGGATGAGTGTTTGTGCACACGTATGGCTGGCTGGGTGCACACGCATCACGTTCACAGGAGCGCAAAGCTGTGAGAAGGAACCGCCGTGGGAACGCACCCAGCAATCCAGACAGTGCCAGCCTTCTCCAAAAAAGCCCCACGTGGCTTAGGGTTTGCAGGAAAGATGTCTCACCGCCCGCTTATTCTCAGCTGCTCTCGGAGGGAGCTGTGCACCAGCCTGCAGCTGTTTGATGACGGGGACTGGTTGAGGCTTAGGCAGAGTTCAAAACTAAAGCTCGTGGCAATTCTGGTGCCTTTGTGTCTCGAGAAAGTCAAAAGCAATTAGTGGCACTAATCTTTACAGCTATATTTAGTCATACACAAAGTCTACCTGTCCCTGTGCAGCTGGAGAGCAACACAACAGAGATCATAGAATCATGGAATGGTTTGGGTTGGAAGGGACCTTAAAGATCATCTAGTTCCAACCCCCCTGTCATGGGCAGGGACACCTTCCACTACACCAGGTTGCCCAAAGCCTCATCCAACCTGGCCTTGAACACTTTCAGGGATGGGGCAGCCACAGCTTCTCTGGGCAACCTGTGCCAGTGCCTCACCACCTTCAGAGGGAAGAATTTCTTCCTTATATCCAATCTAAATCTCCCCTCTTTCGGTTTAAAGCCATTGCCCCTTGTCCTATCACTACATGCCCTTGTAAAAAGCCCCTCTCCAGCTTTCCTGTAGGCCCCCTTTAGGCACTGGAAAGCTGCAATAAGATCACCCCGGAGCCTTCTCTTCTCCAGGCTGAACAGCCCCAACTCTCTCAGATCACCACCTTCAGGGTCCTCCCCAAAGTCCATGTAAACACACAAACTTTTCTTGCTTCTTCACTGCTCCTTACATGGACTCCTGGATGTCCTTTCCCTTCTGCTAGAGCGAGTCTACTCCTAATCCTCCAGGAAGCCCTTTTCCGTGCATTGGCTAGCATTTACTTTGATAAGTATAGAACAGCTAAAAGCCTGGTCTCAAGCCCATTAGCACCAGTAACCGTGCACCAGCTGACACTCCCCGGGAGCAGGATTAGACCTGATGATAGTGCTCTGTAAGGAGAGCAAGCATCCCAGCTCCAAGCCTCTCTGGAAGTCCTACTCAGAAGACTCAAGTGCACCATTTCTCTCCAAGCTACTATATCTCTTTGGCCTCATGGTGCCAGACAGTCCTGTCTTAGCAAGTTCAAAGAGGTTCTCACCAAGCTATATCAAGGGCCCCTATTCGGGGGTGATTGCAGCGCTGCTCTCACATCTGGGCTTTTTCACCTTCAAAGTGCCACAGAAAGCAAAACGACCAGGGTGCTGCGTGTTCAAAGTAACTCAGAAAGGAAATAATAACCAGTCACCGCGACAGAAATATCCTTCTTAATCCTACAGCAGTTTGGCTTCCCCGCTGGCCACAAATCCACCCACTCTCTCACCCAATGGCAGATGCTCTCACAATCTCCCCCCGTGCCCTGCACCTCCAGCAGAAATCAGCAGGAGCAGGCCAAAAACCTGCTTTCATTTCTTGAGTCACCATCTGAGCAGAGGTTTCAATATTTTTTCCATCCTCCTCCTCCAGCTCCTGTTGCGGTACATTGACGTTGACGTGCAAATCGCTGATGGCACCAGGGAGGGGGGGTTGGATTGACCTGCTGCATGACCTTGGGGAAATTGCTGATTTTCCCTGCCTCTTGGCTCTCCTCCCATTTCTTCTTCATATCAGGACAGGGACGGTCTCACAAATAATTATGCACACAGAGTACCTGTGACAATGTATGTGCTGGAGTCTAGGACAAATCGTAAATGAAAATTAATAACAGATTACAATTTTTCATTCTGTTTACTCTGCTGGAGATTGAAAGACACAAACTGATGTTAAAACCAAATACTGGGGAAGTGGTGGCACAAAAGTACAAAATAGTATTCATCGTAATCATTATTAGCGTTGAAGACGGTATGACTGAGCTAATCTTCAAAATCCATTTGGGCCACAGATCACAGAATCATAGAATGGTTTGGGTTGGAAGGGACCTCAAAGATCATCCAGTTCCAACCCCCCTGCCATGGGCAGGGACACCCTCCACTACACCAGGTTGCCCAAAGCCTCATCCAACCTGGCCCTGAACACTTCCATCTAAGGCAGAAAAGAAATAATAGCCGTCTTTCTATACTTAACAGGAAAAATATCCCACTTCCGAGCCTGTCCTGTCTCTCCCTCTCCAAAGCACATACAAAACTCATAATAAATCATCAAAGACCTTTCCCTTTAGAGAAAATTGATATGTTCCAAAGCAATTCACTTTTGGTTGGTGTTTCTTTCTGGTATCAAGCGAATTTCACTATTCCACCAAAAACCTTTATAAATTAAAGAAAATGCTTTCAAAGTTTAAACCTGAAAAAAGCCAGTAATGGGGAAAAATCGTTCTTAATAAATACTAAGAAAGCAGAGAACGGTTGACTTGCAGTCAGTAGTGCTAAGACCAACTGACCTTTCTCAGCGTGATCGCCTTCACTACTAGTTGCAATGAATATACCAAACTATTTTTCCCTTGGTCTCAAACTGGTCTAGAAACCTGTGAACAGGTTTCTAGTTTGCAGTTCTTTAGTCCCTTTTACTGCCTTCAACTTCTGTCCTCACTTGAGCTTTAAAATGTGTTTTCCATAAACACTTGCAAAGCTGCAAGCAGAGTAGCTGCATGAATGGTTAGAAGACAACAGATACGAGCCTTGGGCTTGAGCCAAAGTACATTGAAGTCAGTGGAAATTTCCACTGAAGTCAATTGATTGACAATCAGAGTCTTCTGCTAATTTGGGGAAGGACCATTTCAATGTTCAGAGGGGGATGCTGGGATTCAAGTTCATCTCTGGAGAATCCAGCAGTAACATCCACTACGGTAACTAAGAATTAACAATCAAAACACAGACCCAGAGCTCACATCCTAACCTTTCCCAGCCATTAGCTTGAATTTCAGGCTGCACTGTGTCATCCAAGCACTTGGATCCATCTTCAGAAGACATTGCCATGTCTTGTCCTTCCCAGCTCCCCAGTTGTTTCTGACAGATGTGTCACTCTGACTCATTTCCAGCTTCAAATCCACAGCATCAAAAAGAGCAAAAACCAAAGTTGCTTCACTTCTCCTTCAAAGTGGGCTCTGCATAACATGGAGAAGTGCCTGGAGCACAGAGATGGCTACAATCACAAGAGATGCCAGGTTGGGAGCCAGCCAGAGACCTTTCCTCAAACCACCTGGATGCAGTTTTCCTTGCCAAGTCTCCAGGAGACATATCCACTCCTGGAACAAAGCTCTGCTCCATGGGAGCGTGGTGGGCGCTCTCAAAGCCTGGCTCTTACAAGAGGAAGAACAGGAATGCTGCTCACTTCCTTAAAGCTCTTGTGCCTCCTCCTCCTCTTCTGCCCTCCTGTGCTAAACAGTGCCCAAACAAGCCCCAGCTGCTCACTGGTATCTCTGATAGACAAGAAGAGTTAAAAAACACATGGAAGCTGCTGCATCAGGTGCCTATTGCCCTTGTCCCTGAACCAGACTGGTGCAGCAAAGCCATCGCAGATACTTATTTCCAGTGGCCATAGCCTCAACATCCAGTCTCTCTCTGCCATTGCTCCCAAACCTCACCCAGTGTTTGTAACTCACTTCTCTCCATCAGGTACAAGCCACTGTGTCCACAGACCTCCTAGTTCAAGGTGAAGACCCCAAGTCTTCACCAACTGTGAGCTGTAACCAACAACACACCTCACTCTCTACCAGCTTTCACCACGTACCCTGAAGCTCAATGCTTCTTACACCGTTACAAATGGCCAGGATGCCAGAAGAAAATCCATGGATCAGTGAAAACAGTGGGTGCTCATCAGTATGATTTTAATTTCTGAAATGGCAGGAAGGAGAAACGGGGTTTATTCCTTGGTCTGACACTGGCTTACTTCTATAACCATGAGAAAGCCGCTCAAACTCTTATATTTTCAGTCTCTGTCTGAAAAAGGGGGTAAAAATCTCTCCTTACGGGTGTTGAGAGCATGAAATCCTGTAACAGGCATGAAATCCTAAACGTGCAGTGAGGATGAAGCTGTGGTAAGTATCTAACTCGCACCCAGACAGATCAAACCGTTTAGATGGGCTGCACTAGATAAACCACGGTGT